TATATATATATATAATATATATATATATATATATATATATATATATATATATATATATATATATATATATATATATATATATGTAATCGATCATAAGCTGGTTCATTTATAAGCCTACTCCCCCAAGATGGATAAGTAAAAATGGAAAGATTTTTTTATAACCCGTTCATAAGCCGACCCTATAATTCAGGGGTCAGCAAACTTTGGCTCCTGGGCCATCAGGATAAGCCACTGGTGGGCCGAGATGGTTTGTTTACCTCGAGCGTCCACAGGCACAGAGGTAAACCTAAGTAAACAAAGGGTCCTGACGCGCCAGCTGTTTACCCTGACAGGCCGGGACAGCAACTGGTGAGGAAATTTTTTGGAGGGGAGAAGCTGGGAGTCAAGGGAGTAACCCCTGTGACCATTCCCCACATGACCCCACACCTGGCCCAGGACCCCCACACTCTCCCCATCCTATCCCTTCCCACATTATCTGGGGAGGGCCACAGGAAGATGTCTCTGGCCTGGCTGGAGCTGCTCCGGCAGACTGGGCAGCGCGGCTGCAGCCTGCTCCGGCGGGCCAGACTGGGCAGCGCGGCCACATCATGTTCCAGCTGGGCCGGGCGGCACTGCCGCAGCATGCTCAGGCAGTGCATCCACAGCCTGCTCTGGGGGTGGGGCTGAGCGGCACAGCTGCGCCTGCCAGCCCACGAGCTGCAGCTGCTTCGGAGGCTGGCGGAAGAGCAGCATGGCCAGAAGTGGAGAGACTCTTCCCTTCTGGCTCTGCTGGCTGTGCTGCCTCTCCTTGCTCCCTCTGTTGGGGGGAGGGGCCGTGTCCCACCTCTCCCTCTCTGTACCCGTTCATAAGCCGAACCGCTTCTCTGGTGCTTCCCTTTTTTACTAAAAAATGCGGCTTATGAACGAATATATATGGTAGTTATTTATAGAACTGTGAGGACTGTTTACTTATAAGCCCTAATATCTATGTGCAATGTGAACGAGTTGAAGTTGCTTTTGAACCATAACTTTTAATTTCTTGAATTCTGTGGGGGGAAAATCTTATCTACTATGTAGAATTTTACATCATGCATAACATAGAATTTGCATTTAATTGCTTTGCTTTTAAAAAAGTGAGTGTATGCACTACATTTACATTTATTTGAATATGATTCATTGCTTTTTCAAATAATGTGTAATACAAGATAAAAATAAATGCCTGAGCGTTTGTTTGGATATTTTCACATGCAGATGAGATCATATATTCAAACACAGGTCTACTTACTGCAATGTGTAGAGTTCCAGATCACAAATACTTGTGTGTTTGTATGCCTGGCAAGCTATAGCATGATATGTTTGTAGAGGCAAGACTGTCACTTGTCCTAACATGGTTGCATACATGAGTAAAGACTGAGGTGAAAGTAAGCCAGTCCAGTCCGGTCCGGTACGTCGTACCGGCAAGAGCCAGTACGCCGTGCCGGACTGGACCGGCTTCCGCCGCGGTGATTTAAAGGGCTCAGGGCGCCAGCTGCTGTGGGGATCCCCGGGCCCTTTAAAGTACCGCCAGAGCTCCAGCAGCCGGGCTCCTGAGGTGATTTAAAGGGCCCAGAGCTCCGCAGTGGCCAGAGCCCCGGGCCCTTTAATTCGCCCCCTGAGTCCCAGGGCTACGAGCCGCCTCTGCAGCTGGTAGCTCCGGGGTGATCTAAAGGCCCCGCCTCTTCCTGTTGAGGCCCCACCTCTTCCGGGTGAGGCCATGCCCCTGCTCAGGACTCCGGTGTACCGGTATGTTCTTTAAGTTACTTTCACCCCTGAGTAAAGATGACATTGCATGGATCACTGCTTCACACATTGGGGTGTGAACAGACTCTGCAGAGCTGAACCTCTCCCTGGCAAGAGAAGCACCGTTGCTAACTCTTCCATTTTATCAGAAGTCTGATATTTGATGTTTTCCTCAAATATACAGCTGTTGGCATCAGATTACTACTTGTGAATCTCAGCTTTCATTTAAGAAAATGTTTCTGTCCCTCAGAGTTGCAGCAAAAAGCTTAAAACCATGAACCCTAAATGCTGCAAAACCAGAAGTCAAATAAAAAGAACCCCCCCGAATTATTTTTATTTTAATTTCCTTCTTTGTCCTGCTTCATGATTTTAGGGGCCTGACTCACGGTTTTTGAATGCATAGTGTTGGCCATATTGGTGAAGTCTTGGTTTTGCTCCTGTCCCCCAGTAAGCTGCACCTTGGACGGTTCTGTAGTAACTATCTGCTCTCCTATGACAAAGAGAAACTGCGGAAGGAATTGGGACTCTGGATACAGAGATCCTGCAATGACACCACTGTACAACTCGTCTTATGCAGGACTAGCTCTAGCCCAAAACAAATTGCGCAGAATCATATGCTATTGGATAAAATGCGGAATGCCCAGACTCTTGTGACTTGGTTATTTCTCAGTCTTCTTTTTCCTCCAAACTTGGCAAGCACGCATTCTTCACTGAGGGATTGTGTACATGCCAAGTTGTAACTTCTGAGACAAAACACTCTGAGTTATCAGAATGCCAAAGAATGTCAGAACTAGATTTTTAGCAAGTAAAAAACACCATTTTCCCATGCTTGAGTAACTAACAAATGACCAAATAGATTTTCTTCACACCTTCCATAAAAAAAGTGGGGGGAGTCATCTTTTGAACTGGAGGAGAATGAGAAATTTCATCTCAAAGGGAAACTTTTGTGAATATATAAGTACTTGAATAATAGGGCCTTAGGACAATAGTGCCTCCAAGGAGCTAGCTTGGCTCTGTAATAACTATGAAAATAATTAGTAATGGGAACAATTTTAACAGAAGCATTTGAGTGTGTGTGTGTGTGGGGGGGGTTTCCTGAGGCTATAATTCTATAATATGGATATTTTGAGGGTGTCCCAGGCGCTGCCTAATTAAAAACTGCTCAAGGTCAACTTTAATTTTTGTGTTCTTATTAAAAATATATTGTTATTATTTTCCTGAGAGGACAATGTGATTAATCTGCTCTCTGGGGCAAATTTTATGGCTTTTAGATTGGTCCGTACCCCTTTTGAAGACTGTGCACCATTCCTCCCATAACTCTAGACATGTATTTATTAACTGAGGGCTGAGATGTTTCTCCCAAACTCCCTCCACCTCACATTGGTTGTTTGGCCTCTACCTGGTTTTGCTGCCCACTGTAGCCTTTTGCAACACACTGCACCTCTGT